GAAATTAAATTTATTCTATTAGCGTCAGATTTGCGTCGGAATATTCTACAAAAACAACGATGAAATTAATTTTGGTGTTGAGGCACTTTTGCGTCCAATAAATCGATTCAAAAGATTTACTTAAAGTTTTTAAGAAATCCAACGTAAAGTAGACAATAAAGCCAACACAATTAACCCAAAAACTCATCTTGTATCTTCTGATTTATTTTCTTCTTCACGTGTCACACCCTTGTCTCCTCTCCTTCCTCCCGCAACACCGAAACTTTCTCCTCCCTCACATCGTCACCGATCACCGTACCTTCCCGTATTCGGTCGCCGTTCCTCCCTCCGGCAACCGAAATTAGTCGCAACTCTAGCCGATCGGAAAATGTAACTTCATCCATTTTTTCCTTCTTAAAATTTTGGTATGTATGTAACACTTGAAGTTTTGTGTTAGGAATGTATATGCATTAGATTTCAGTGGTATGTATGTAACATTTGAAGTTTAGGTGTTAGGAGTGTATATTCATAAGAATAGATTTAAAGTAATATTGATTTTAGGTTAAGAATAATGTAGATTTTAGCTTTAGTTAAAGATTTTAAGTTTATATATATTTATCTGCTTCTAGGCAATCTTCAGGTGAGATAAACTGTTCGAGAAGGATAAAATAGTGAGAAATTGGAACTTTTATAATATATGTTGTATGAGAGGTAAATTGTCATTCTAAAATTAACATACTTAATATGAGGTAAGATAATTAGTTGTATTAATTGCAATAAGAAGTTACTAAAAGAAGTCACAAGAGTCCAAATATTTTTTATGTCAATTACTAATAGAAAACAACATGCCTTTAAACTTAATTCACGTCAATTTTTTCATTATGTGGACCTACAAAAGCTTTTCCTAAGTATATAGAATTTCCCATTTAATTGGTCTACCAGCAAGAGCAAACCCCCAATCATATTTTCGTGTAAGCTTGTTCAAGATGTCTAGCAGCAGAGAAAAGTTCTTATGATTTAGCAAGGTGATATGTATGTATAAATTGTAGTTTTCGTGTTAGCTAGGTATGTATATTCATAAGAGTTTAATGGTATGCATATAAATATTACAGTTTGAGAAGTTTATGCCTGTAAATATGTTAGCTAGGTATGTTTCCTATTTAGATTTTGCACATTCCTCTATTTACTTGTGTATACTGCTCCTGATTATTTTATTGTTAGTTCAGCTTCATATGGTTACGAATGGTGCTAGTGATCTGTCAACTCAGCAGGTGAATGTAAGTAAGAAATGAATTTTTTCATATATATTTTGGCTCTTAACGTTTAAAAAGACAATTAATAATTGGTTTTTATTATGTAGGAGTATGAGCAGCTTTGTGAGAGACAATTGCCCTCCCAGACCCCGAGCACTGCTAGCAGCAGTGACAGTCAATCTACCACTACGCAGTCAGAGTTTGAGCTATGGATGCAGACCACGAGGAAGAAGAATGTCGAGATCTATCTTGCTTCTATGGGTGCCACAAGCTCGTCACTCTCGAGTATTGCGAGCTTGTCAGGCAGGTCATCGTTATGACCGAGGAGGTTCACCATATACGTGAAGGCCAACAAAGAATTAAGTTGAGTATATTATGCCTGATGGAGATTATAAAAGATCGTTGGGGCAAGCGAACGGTGACTGTTGTAGTCGATGAGGATGATGAGTAGGAGAATGAGTTTTTATATATTTTTAATTTATGAAATGTTTGACCTTATATTGATCTTGGTGTATTTGTAAGCTTTTGATAGTTTAGATTTATGATAATATCTTCTTTTTTTTTTCATAATTTTAAGAGCTTTGAACTGTGACAAAGTTGGATATAATGTTGTTGTGATGTAGATTAATTGCTTTTTTTTTTTGTATTGAGGCATAACTCTTACTCTCGCTTTCCCTATTTTTAAACATAGTTGCAACGTCTGTCTTATCCTTATTGCACCGTTTCTTTCTGCTTATGATTATTTTTCCTACCAGTAATAATATTTTTAATGGTGTTCCTTTATTTGCAGATGTCCTAAGGCAGTACAGCTGGTCAACCATCTCATAGACCCCGTGTTCTAGGGATCCATGAGACCACTTATAGTAGTAGGAAGAGGAGGTAATCTACTCCTACCGTTGCTTCCACTATTGCTACACCTTCTGTGACACCCCGTCTCACAGCTGTTGTCAGTACATCTTCTGTGGCACCTCCTCCCCACCGGCTACTACTACATCTTCTGTGGCACTTCTTCCACCACCAACTGCTGCCACCCTTCCTGTGGCACCTGCTCCCTCACCCAATGTTGCCCCATCTTCTGTGACGCCTTATGCTTCCATACCTACTCCCCCACTTGCTAATGACCACACCTCTTAAGCATGGCTCGTTAACTCCTGCCACCTTGATGGTGCACTTACTGTCAAAGGGGGACTTGTAAGTTACTTTTAACATTGCATTACTTTTATGTTTCATGTTATATGTATTTTGGAAACTAATTTTTTTCTTAAGCAGATTCATTTCCCACAAGCTGTTTGTCACATACATCATGAAGATTATCTAGAGCAGGTACGACAAGCCATATCTGTCATGGAAACAGTTACTTGTAGCCACTCAAGACTTGTTATTCAGGGTGTTTGAGGTATGCTCATATAATTTGAATTAAATTGTAATTTTGATTTAATTTTTTATACAAACACATAGACTATTTTTAACTTTGTTGAGGTTCTCCACTTGGCTCCTAGGGCATCACCGATATATTCACCAAATCTTCGAGATTTGGGGTAGGCAACGACTTGCTGATATGTTCACAACAGCTCGTAGGAGGGGCAAGCGATTTGCCTGGATTGTTGAGGGGCTCTGGGATTAGTTGATTGCAGCTTGGGCATCCCCTGATTATGAGAGGAAGAGGAAAATGAATAGGGCGAATCAAGCGATGGAGGGAGCTAAAGGAGCGGTGCTCCATATTGGCGAATCGGTTCCCCATACGGAACACTATAGAAGGCTGGTAAGATTTTTTTAGATATTTAACATTAATTAAATTTTTAGAGTAATTTTTTTAGCGCTAACCATTTTCGTATGATACAGAGGCCAATGAATTGAGTCGTGCTCCCTCCGTTGCGAAGCTACATGTTCAAACTCATCATCGCCCGGGGACTGTGCGGTGGGTCTCAGAGCATTCCTAATGGGTTTTCGTAGATTAAAAACCTTAAATTAAAAGTTTATTGAGACTCTTACTGTTAAAAATGTCAATTAAATGTTGGTTTTCATTATATATGAGAAGTTTGAGCACCTCCAACAGAGGAACTGGGCCACTCAAGCCCAGACTTCCGCCAGCAGCAGTGGTAGTCAGTCTACCACTGCGCAATCCAAGTACGAGCTTTGGACCGAGCTGACATGAAGGAAGAATGTGAGGGTTTGTGGCCTTGGAGTGAAGGGCATAACCTTTGAGACCGAGCTCTCTCGTCGTCTCGTTCATAGTTCCCCAATCTCCTCACAACCAGACCGGGAGGTTCTTGCCAGATAGGTGACTGCAGTGAAAGAAGAGATCCGCTAGTTGCGTGAGCAGATGTTGGAAGGCCAACATTGAGTCGAAAAATCTATAGCACGCTTGGCTGAGACCTTAGCAGATAGTCGGGGCGAGAAGTGACGACACTCATGTAGGAGGATGTGGAGGATGATTGAGATGATGAGTAGTTTTTTTTTTAAAAAAAAATTGTAAATATTATATTGAACATTTATTTTATAATTTTTTCGATTAACTTTTGTATTCTTATTTTAGACGATCTGTGATAATATTTTCTTTTTATTAATGATATTTTTTAGAAACTTGATCTGTTATGTGGTTATTGCTTAATATGTTATGTAATGCTGAATGTATTTTTGCGCAGGTTTTAAATATAATTTTTATTTTAATTTTTTTTCTGTGTAACAGGTTTGCGCCCATTCTCAGGTACAAATTGCAACGTGAAATCGAAAATAATATTTTAATATTATATCATATTTTTCGACATGACGTTAATATTTATGGTCTCATATGCCAATTATTTTGAACCCACAGAATGCAGTATTTAGCTCCTAAATTTCAAGCATACCTATTTAATGGGACCTTCTATGATTTGATGGTTGAGAAGAAACAGGTTACAATGATCCTATAAAATTAACATTTAATATTTGAGATGACTTGTTTTTTTTTATTTTTCAAAATAAATTTAAGTAAATACTAATGTGCCACGTGACTCATAATAAAGTCATAAACATTTTTATACATTTCCATTATTTTAAAATTAATTTATCCTAAAGGTATTTAAAGGTACATAACAATATTTAAATAGCTAAAATATATATATAAGTTTATTCTACATTCAATTTGTTGGAATATTTCTTTGCATAAATTGTTTAAATAATTCAACGATTAAACAAATATCCAATAAAACATGTCATTTCTCTATAATATTTCTTCAATCTTAAACAGTTCAAATATTACTTCTAATTAAATAATTTATATTTATTATTAATTTTTTTCAATATAAAATAATATAATTTCAATTAAAATGGGCAAATATATAAACTTACAATTTTATAAAATTATGATAAGATTTCCTTGAAAAGTATCCCATGAGCACTCAGGTAGTTTGGCAGGAGAAACAACACTATTGACAGTAACATAACATCAGTGAAGTAAACGTTAATCAATTGCAGTATTCCATCCTCTAATAAATGCCTAATAGTTTTTCATGCCAAACCTACCTTCCATCTTCTTTCAATTCCTAACCAAAGCAACCCCCCATAAAGAAACAATGAGGTTACTCACAAGCCCAGCTTTCAATATCCACTTCACCTAGCTAGGTTTTCTAGTAGTGTTACATATAACCATTTCAGCGCCAGATCTTAGCCAAACCCTAGGCCCGACCGATGGGACCAAAGCAAGCCGTCGCACCCACATGCACAATCACCTTAGTGGGTTCCACCCGCCTCTGAAACCTCTCCCACGTGCTCTCCTCCCCAAACCCAACCAAGCTTGATTCACTCCCCTCCCCTTCTTCATAAACCCTAGTTTATGAAATTTTTAATTACTCCACATCACCTCGCCATTAACTCACATATCATGGCACTGCTCTCCTTCTCTCCCTTATTATTTTATACAATCGTCGAGTTCAGTGGAACCACTCCTGTGCTATTTGTCCCTCTCCCTTTCCTTTTTCTCTGAAATTGTTCCTCGTTCTTTGTATGTTTGCCCTCTTCCCCTCCGCATCTAACTTTCAAGCGTTTCTGTTTTCTCCTCCTTTCATTTTTTAAATCATTTCCAACTCCTTTTCGCTTTTTTAATTCAATTAAAACATTTCTCCCCCCTTCCATCCATAAACTACTTCTTTGATGCAACCATGGCGGGCCTGGATCTAGGCACCGCCTCTCGTTTCGTTCACCAACTCCAACTCCGCTCTGACCTCCATCTCCAACACCACAACCCTGAATCCTCCGATGAAGATCAAAAGAACAACGCCGGCGGCGAGAACAGCGGCGGCGATGGCTCCGCACAGGGCCTCGAATTAATCTCTTCAGGAGACATAGTAGGCCGGCGACCACGAGGCCGTCCCGCCGGTTCAAAAAATAAACCTAAACCACCAGTCATCATCACCCGCGAGAGCGCCAACACTCTCCGAGCCCATATTTTAGAGATCGGCGGAGGATGCGATGTCTTCGACTGCGTGGCATCTTACGCGCGCAAAAGGCAACGCGGCGTCTGCGTGCTGAGTGGGAGCGGAACGGTAACCAACGTCAGTCTCCGGCAACCGTCATCTTCCGGCTCGGTTGTGACTCTCCACGGCCGCTTCGAGATCTTATCCTTATCCGGTTCCTTTCTTCCACCACCTGCACCACCGGGTGCGACCAGTCTTTCAATTTTTCTCGCCGGAGGACAAGGGCAGGTGGTGGGAGGAAACGTGGTGGGGGCTTTATACGCCGCCGGGCCGGTGATCGTTATCGCGGCGTCTTTTACGAACGTGGCGTATGAAAGGCTGCCTCTCGAGGAAGAAGAGCCACCGCAGATGCAGGGATCTGCGGCAACCGGTGAAGGTAACGGTGGCGGCGGTGGAAGCCTTGGGAATCCTTTTCCAGATCCAGCGGGATTGTCATTCTTTAACTTACCGTTAAATATGGCGGGGCAGCTACCCGTGGAGGGCGGTCATGGGCCGTGGGCAGGTAACGGAACGAGCCGGCCGCCGTTTTGAATTTGAAAAAGGAAAATGTTGACGGAAGGGTTGAGGATGAATCCATTGCGATGAGAGGCTGTGAAAAAAGGTAAGCTGTGAAATTTCATTATTTGGGTCTGTGTACCAGTAGTCGCTAGTTCCTGTTAGCGTTACTTCTTCTTCTTCGCCGGCTCTTTTGCTATTTAAGGTTTACTGTGGTTTATAATTCTATGATGTCTATTCGGGGTTTGTTTAAATTAATACTTATGAAAACTGTGGCTTGCATGTTGTGTTTAGTGGAAACTAGAATTTGAGCTCAGTTTGTCTAAACTTGCAATGTGCTTTCTACTTTCTTCAGTAGCTGTTCCTCTTTTGTTTGATTTTAAGTTTGAATTAATGGTAGCTTTCTGAGTCAAATCAGGATATTTACGTTTTAGGGTTTTCATTTAGGAAATCAGCTTCTCTCTCTCTCTCTCTTCTGCATTCAAGGTAGGATATGTTAGGGATTTCATTCAATGATGTAACATGAGAGATAGGATTAATGAATACGAAATACTTTAAGATATCTAAACTAGGGCAAGGAAATTCTGTCTCCTAAATTAGGGCACAGGTGCTCGTGCAGCGCTTATTTTATAAATTTTGTCCCTTATCTCTGAGAGTAGGGTAAGTGGATAAGTCGTGACAGTCACCTCTACAACTTGCGGGGAAGGTGGATGGATTTGCTGCAGTTCCACCAAGTGTTGGCCTCTGCCAAGTTGCTACATATTGAGGAGTTTTAAAAAGCACATAAGCCGTATGCCTCATTAGCATTTCATTTTACTTATTTTTGGATACTTAATTAACTTAATCAAATCGCCATTAATTTTAAACATAAAAACTAGCCCTTTAAATTGATTTATGTTGTTGGCCTTGAGATTAGATTAAAAACAAAATTGAAATGCATGAATGTAGATGTACAGTATCATATATAAATTATTATATCGTAGCTTATTTTCATGCTTTGGATTTGTTGCGGTAGTTTTGACCTTTGGAGTCTGTTATACTAATGAGAAAATAAACCAATAATATGTCATATATTAATGAAAAAAAATTGACTCAATCAGACTATGAGGAAGAATTCATGGAATTAATCTTATGATAGTGAAGGTCACAGCCAAAAAAAATAAAATAAAAAAAAAGAAGATGAATTAAAAATTAATTAATAGAAAAGATGGGTCCTCGCCATAAATTGTACCGGCTAATATAAATTCATTCATCATGTCTTCGATAAATGATAAGGGCTTACCTAATACTTACTAATATAAAAAACCGACCGACTACAAGATTAAATGGTTATCAACGGAAGTATATTTTTTTATTGTAGATTAAGGGCAGAGGCGCAGAGTTTAAGTAAATTTAAAATACGAATAAATCATCTATACATAGAAGAGAAAACAGGAAGTTCCAGGGAGGAAGAGATTAGGGAAATTAAGTCAACTAAAAAAAGAAGAAATCTTGAACATATTTATTCCTTCTCAAAACGCATGAGATGGTATATCGAATTGAACATCATAAAAAGAAAAAAAAAACAAACTTTCAATTTTGTAGGTGTAGAAGAACTGGTTTTCACTTATTTTCACAAGTAACGATAACAGTCGTTATGAATTATAGGTAGAAATTTTCAGATGCAGTTAGATTTTTTTTTTTTCTTAATTACGACTTAATATCACCCAGCGTATGTTGCATGGCTGTGTCGTGTATGATCTCCATCATTTGGAAAATATTTTTTTGATTTTATTACCACATCCTATTGAAGCTCTTTCTCCTTATCCTCCTCTAACATGTTGCTGTCATGATCACGTGGGCACTATTTCCTTATCCTCCTCTAACATGTTGCTGTCATGATCAATGATTCAATCTCTTTAGGTTTCAATCTTCCTCTTGCATCTTATCCCTCTATGATCGGATTAAGGATGTCATCCAATTGCCTTCCTCTCAATGGTAATAAACCTTCTATCGATACTGTTCATCTAACCTCTCTTTAATCATAAGGGCTTATTAATTTTTTTTTTTAATGCTATAAACAATTTGACAACCCTTAGCGTACGAATCTTAGAGTGGGATGATAAATTTTTACTTAATTAGATAACTATTTTTTTTTTCTAGAATAAAATATCACTCTTATTTTTTTTTTAATTGGGATATTAAATTAAGGAGTCATTCATAATGAGCAGCACATGACCTTTGAATTTTAACCTCTACGGTGAACCTCCAATTCCACATATTTGGTATAACTTCCCCATATTTGGTTTAACATTTTTATCAAGCTATTTTCTTACTAAAGCCTCTCTATGTAGAAAAACTTTACTTATGAATGTTATTATTATCACTTTTTAAAGTCATTTATTACTTGAGTTTTGGTTGAAGACATGACCTAATAATTCTCCAACATATATAATTTATCTCAAATGATTGTGGATATGACAAAAAAGTTTGTAATAAAAGAATTCTTAAATTATAATCCACTGCTGCTCACTAAGGCATGTTATGCATCATGCACTAAGTCCCCCAGAATGCAATGTCACTGCTACAAATACATAACCCCCATCACATTCAAAATACATCCCATAATGATTTCCTATAAGTTTAGCAACTTATGTGTCTTTTCCTTCTTTATCTCTAAATGAAACTCCACTTACAAAATTCCATCCATAGCTCAGTAGATCTATGAATAGCAACTTATGTGTCTTTTCCTTCTTTATCTCTAAAAGAAACTCCACTTACAAGATCTATGAAATCAAATTTTCATTATGAACTATAACATATCTATTGAGTTCCCCTCATTAGCTTATGAGATGACCTAAACTCTATTAAATTAGCAGATTGATGTGACAACTTTTTATTTGATTTTTTTTTTCCTCTCACTTTCCAATCCTATCTGTAGCACGAGGTATAATTAAACATTCTCCACCAAAAATTCTTCCTAAATACAACATTTCCTCTCACTTTCCAATCCTATCTGTAGCACGAGTTATAATTAAACATTATCCACCAAAAATTCTTCCTAAATACTGCATCTCAACAATAATTCAGGAAGATTGATTTTTTTTTTAAATCATATTTGAGATGACCACTATAACTCTACAGCAAATTTAAGAAACAATTATCCTAATGATGTATTAGAAGTAAAAAAACAAGTATTATGTAAGATTTTATATTTCATTGGAGTTTCCATTCATATTTATGACAATAAATGACCATCGAAAAGAGAGAATGATTATGATTAATTTTTTTTCAGATTGTTTTAATCACGTTGCTTTATGCTTCACTACTTCTATTTCTATTTTTTTTTCTTTTTTTTTTCTTTGAGACAATGGTTTTCATCTATTATATTTTCATTTCTAAATCTATCACTTATATTTTTATTTCTAGAATAAATATGCATTCTATTTGAATAGGGAGTTGACACATTCATATATGATCATTAATAGGATTCATTTGCATATGAGTGGCCTCTGAAAATTTTTATTGAGATTTTCAGTGTGTTAAGTTCTCAAATTTTAGATCTCCATCATATTTTAAATTGGAGCTCTCAAATTTAGCTTGCTTTTATAGTATAGATGATAGAATCAAAAAATGTACCCTAGTAGATGATTATAAATCTCACCGAGCTAATTAAATTTGACAACTTAAATACAAAAAATAAATCCTAAATGATAAAGATAATATTAAAATATTGAACCTATAACAGAAAATGCAAAATGTTGAGCTATGCAATTTTTTAATAATATAAAAATACAATGAAACTAAAAATATAACTATATTAATAAAGGTAAAATACTAATAATAAAATCCCATAATAAATTTGTAGAAAAAAGTAAAATACAACTAATCTTATCTCGATTTTCAAAATCTTAAAAAATGATTTAAATTAGAGCAACATATACCTACTAATAATGATATGTAATCATATTAGATTGACTATAAAATAGGTATGATATGATAAGGTTTATGTATTATATATTATTTATTAATATATTAAAAAATGGCAATATATATATATATATATTGTTATCATGATAGATATCTTTATTTTGTAATATAATTTTTTTAAAATTTGAAATTTATATTACCAAAGGGATATAGATTGGGAGAAAAAGTGGGAGTGGAGATTAGGCATGCATGAAAGAGAAGGATTGAAGATTTTTTGTATGAAAGAGAAAGCTTGAATAAGAAAATCATTTAACTTTTTTCATCATTTAATTATAATAATCCAATATTATCAATTTAACCCATATTTATGATTTTAAGATAACATTAAGCTAATATAAATTCAAAATTTTTAACTACTGAGATTTTGATAGCTCTACTAGCCTTTCTTCCTCCCACTTGTGTAGGCTTCCGAACATTATCATCAGGTTCTTCATTTCTTAACTTTAGGAAAATCATCTGTTAATTTGTTTAATAATGGCCAGCAAGCGATATTAGTTTCTTATTCTTATGCTGTGCCTCTATTTTTTTTCAATGTAATGTGCAAGCTTTTCCTTTTTCTTCTCATGGGGTTCAATTGGCTTTGATGTTTTCCAATTTTCTAAAATTTGCTTTAAACTCTTTCTTATTAGTAATTTCGTGGGTTAGTCCTTCATTGCAAGAAAATATTAAAGCTGATTATTTTAATGCATGTTGCTTCAAAGATAATTATTTCTTAGCTTCTGACCTGAACGCATTAATATCTTTATTTAAAATTGAAAGGGTAGAAAACTATTTTGCTATATTTATGTTCAGAATTCTAAAAATTGAGGAATTTTACATGTGGGTGGGCACTGGGTCTCCTAATTTTGTTCTCTTCTTAGAATAATCAATTCCTTATGTCTATCGATTAGCTTTCCTTGCCTTTGGAGTTATATATTCAATAAAAAAATCACATTAGCTTCATTATTTGATAATTTTTTTCTTAAATATATTTATATTGTGACTCTCATTAGACCTTCATTTGTAAGGGTGCTGGAGGACTTAATAATTTCTTAGTTCTGTATGGAAATGTCTCTTAATTTTGTAAGCTTTGCGAATTAGTGGGGCATGAAGATTCACTTTGCTGACATGGTAAAAAATTCATATATAATAGCGTGTATGTTTATATAAGCCTCTAGTTGTGTAACCTAAACTTCCTACTCAAATGATCTTATTAATATGGTGACATGTTCTCTACTTCTTTATCTCCGAATCAAGCACCTCCTCAAAACTATATAATATCTGAGCAACAAAATAAAGTTAAGAATGAGCTATCTAATGTTTTAAGCTCATTAGTCTTGCTCAATATG